AAAGGCATTGAATTTTCGATCAAGAAAGAGCTTAGGAGAGTTAGGGTGATCTCTTGGACAAATCACCCCCTAGTTCGCCACAATAGGGTCAGCACGCAAAGGGAAGGGCAAGGGAAGGCTAGGAGTTTTCCCCATGGACCGACCCGTGACGAGATTATACGCCCGGGCCCATAACATTCTGGTATCAGAGCCTACCGTCATGGGGGAACAGGAGCCGCTGTCTTCCAGGGTCCACGAACTGGAACACAAGCTTGCAGAGACCAGCATGGAGGTTCGTGAAGTCAAGGAAGATGTCCGGGAGCTGCGACGCTTGCTGGAAGCATTCCTCTCCAAAAAAGAAAGGAGTTATGAGGGAATTGCCAACACAAATAGTCGCCGTTCGGACTGGGCAGAGGCATCTAGTGAACAGCAGATCGCTGCCCTGACAGCTGCAGTTATTCCCAAGTATAGCCGTTTGGAGTTTCCCTCATACAACGGCAGCGGCGACCCACTGGGATGGCTGTACCGCTGCGAGCAATTCTTTCGTAATTAGCGCACAGAGAAGGATAAAGTCAGCCTAGCCCGTTCCATCTGACAGACGAAGCGCAACTCTGGTTCTACTGAGTGGAGCAGGAAGAACTAGGACTTAGTTGGGATCAGTTCAAGTCATACTGCCTCCTTCGGTTCGGACCCCCATTAACGAGCAACCCCCTGGGAGAATTAATTAACCTCAAGCAGACCGGAACCATAGCCGAGTACCAGTGGCAATTTCAGACCCTTCTCGCCAGAGCTTCTTCAGTACGCCCAGACCAGCAGGTGGATATGTTCACCGCAGGGCTAGCAGAACCCCTAAGGGTGGCTGGTCACAGCCATGAACCTAGCATGCGCTTTCGAACGCAAACTACAGCTCAGCCACAGAACCGTCAGTATGGGGCGGCCTCCATCAGCATGGGCATCCCCGGAACCACTCGGAGTGGCTCCATACTCAGCAACCAGGCAAGAACGGAAGCCACAGACAAGCACCAATCCCAGATCAGCATCCAGTGTAGGGAGCAGCGTCGTTACACCCCCTATTAAGCACTTGTCCAGGGCTGAGATGGCAGAACGCAGGGCGAGGGGGCAATGTTTTAATTGCGAGGAACTCTACTCAGCAGGGCACAAGTGCAAGAGACTTTTCTGCCTCCTGGTGAAACAAGAGGAAGATGAAGAGGAACCCCCTTCATGGGAACCCAATCCAGGAGGGCAAAGCCATTCCACCTATCCAGGATTCCTTTGACGGTGTTTCTAACACCCATCCTGAATTCGAGATTGAGGACAAGCTCGTAGTCCAAGAGGGGTGTAATGTTGCGGACACAAAAGCAATAGACACACTCGTAGGCGAGCCTAACCACCGCGGCCG